TATTTACTGTGCTACCTCATATCTTCGTGCAATTTAGTGTTCAACCATGAAGTATTTGTCATTTATAAATGTTTGCTCAGCCTTATAATACATCCTAGGCCAGATACCTTGCTATGATGTGCAGCAAACTAAAACTATTTACTTTTCACTCATTTGGAGGTGACCTTCCAACAATATATTCCTGCTTTCCACATCTATACCTGCTCTTTTTTTTCCCACAAAACAGACCTTCGTGCGATGCTAGGTGACCATGTCTCCGATATTTTCTCATGCCTATTGTGTTCTTTTGGTTCATACACCAAGATTGTCTCGCTTTTCATAGCTAAATCATTAGCACCAAAACTAAAGAATAGCCTAATCAATGAGCTAACATTTCATTATGTTATGTTCTCCTTACTACTCCAACTGCTCCTTGATGAAATGAATGAGAACAAGTTGAACACGGTGCCAGCCTCAAATCATCATTGGAAGACACCATTTCAGACTAATATGTGTACATGCGAAACATTAGTTTCTATAGGTTGTCCAATTTTTATCCTTTCTTTAATATATACACTTAAAACAAAATGTAACTAAGCTTTTATGATCTTTTTCCATCTTAATCGACAACTACGGCAACTGTTATCAGCAATTGCTATTGTCGCTCCTGGCCACGCATCAAGTCAAGCTTTGTGATTTTGGAAGTGCAAAAGTTATGGTACGTTGACTTGCAATGAAAGCTATAGTAATACACGCATTGGGGGTAGTGATAGTGTAATACACATATGGGGATACCACTTTGAGTAACTTGACCAAAACTAACAAGCCGTGGCTGCTTCCACCTAGCTGGCAAGCCTGCTTCAACTTAGCTGGCTAGCCTGCTAATAGTTAACACGCCTTTTGCTAAAAAATTAGGCCGTGTTCAACACTACTTAAAATTATTTAAGCAGGTCTTTTCTTTGCTAGGTTAAGCTTTTTTCCATATCTTAGAGAACTTGAATATGCTCATGATATGCATATTCAAGTTCAAACTAAAATATGGTAATAATGCTATCCGAATTTGATTTCACACGTATTCAACAAAATCCATCCATAGTGTGGGACCTTGTAGTGCATTCTATCTTAGAGCAATTTCTTATAGTATTCACAAAACAATACTTGTCGTATATGTTGTTTCTATGATAAATATATAATACAAAGTTACGCTAAAGTACATATTTATGTCTTAAAAGTATCAACAAAAGCACACAAAAATCATATCAGAAGCATGCAATGCTAAGTAATAAAAACCATTAACAATTATAGGGACAAAACACGTTACATGCACGATAAGAAAACACATCACATGGATAAGAAAGATTGGCAACTAAAGTAGGTTGTGGAAAGATTGGCAACTATATTAATAAAACATAAAGTGTGATTTTTTCCCAACCTCTATTAGTTGCCAATCTTTCTCATGCAAGTGACGCATTTTCTTATCGTGCATGTAACGTGTTTTGTCCCTATGTGGTTATACCATTTTGAGATGGTTATACATGTGTGGGCATTCCACTTTCAGTTATAGAAATAGGTATGTGGAGATACCACTTTGAGTTGTATATATTAATGTCTTTTGTCTTTTGTCTCCATCTGCCACATTGCTTTAGCTACTTAATATTTTTGTCTTCGCAATATCTTTTTTTTAGCTAGTCTTCATAATACTATACTACATTTGTTGGGGAGCCCATTATATCATACATATGCTCACGCTATTACCGTGCTCCAATCTCATATTCGGTGCAACTGAGTATACAACATCAATAAATATATGATCAACTGGATGTATTCTTGCAGTACTTCTTGGTCAAGTGGGTTTTTTGTATTTGTTTCATAGATTTGGGTGGTTTTAGGTTTCTTTGCTTAACCACGATGCAACTGCTGTTGTTTTAATTCCCTTGCATGTATGTTTGTAGCCGTTGTTCCTAGGTTAGAGTGCAGTTGTAGTTGTAGAGATAATCTAGGTACTGCACACATCACATTTCTCTCTCCTTTTACTTCTGCTATGAAATTTTTTAAATTGATGTGATCCTCTCGCAGGTTCTTGGTACATATGGCCACCCATCAGGATATACGATGCATGAACCCGAACTATAGAGTTTGAATTTCCATGGATAAAAGGCCCACGCTTGGCACAAGGTATGCATGTTATCTAACGAAGAAAATGTTTGTTCATATGAAACATCTTTTTATGCATAGCCATATGATCAATTAAAATATTTTTGTTGTAGTTTTAGTTTCTAGTAGGTTATAATAATTCCATTGGTGTTAATATTATGGTGTTTCTCATTTGTGTTATAGTGACACACATGTGTCCTAGGGTAAGGGTGCACACTCATCATGTGGAAACTGAGTTCCTGCCCTGTCTGGCACACATGGTTGCACACTTTGCACTTGTGCAGAACACTCTGCAAGTCTAGCTTTGCGTTGCCCTTCTTCTCCATGATCTTTTTATGACGAGTAATGTGGCCTCCCTGCGCCTGTGGTTTGGTGAAGAACGTGCTCTTACACTTAGGGCAATTGTACACCTTGCCACAACCTTTGTTGCTCTCACCTCTAGTGGCAGTAGATGTGTTGTAGGTGTGGCTGCCACTGCTACACCCAGCAAGACCTTTGCCTCCATATCCAACATGGCTATAGCCAGCAACACCTTTTCAATAATCGACATTGCCATAGCTGGCGAGAGATTCGCCACCACCGTTGCTGTACCTAGCTACAACTTTACCATTGCCACCATATCTATAGTGAGCACCAGCTTTACCAGAGCTGTTGTTCCCCTTCACCGGGTGATCAGGTGCAGTTTGAGTGCCACATTGACAGCAGTGGCAAGAGGAGCTCTTGTGATGGTCGCCGCTGCCACAAAAGCAGGAGGTGGTGGAATTGTCAGAGCCGTTGTTGATGCAGCAGGAGGAGCTCCTCCAATGTTCATAGATTCTACAGACGCATGAGGTGTCGACGGCTGAGGAGTTGCCACGGCCACCGTAGGAAGAGCCGCCGCTGCATCAGGAGCTGGACAAGGAGCTCCACGAGACCCCACGATGGGGATGAGAGGATTTGCGTTGTCATCGTCATCGTCGATGATGATCACAAAATTTTCATCGCCGCTGCGGTCGTTCTCTTTGACCTTGTTGCTGTCGTGCACGGCGGTCGCTATGTTGCGAACAGTGACATTAGACTAAGATCCAGAAACTTTTACCTCTAGGTTCTCATCCACATGTGAGACGACAGCGTCGGCCACCCCAAGATGTGTCACCATCAGGTCACGCTTGATCTACATGATGAGCGACCTGTCCGGCTATTATTCACGAAGGGCGTCTCTAGGGCTCCCATTGCAGCGTGCGGCATTGCCCCATGTCGCCTCTAGTAGCTTCATGGTCCTCAGCTTTGACTTCCGCTTTTTCCTTCTCCTCTTTGGTGTGGGTGCATCCCCCTCAGACTTGGAGGAGAGGTGGTCATGTTTGTGAGACCTCATGTGCCCACTGCCCACACGACGTTGTCTCCTGACCAAAGGTCATTGAGCAATCGGCACAAGCCTAGGGCCGGTCATCCATCTCAACAATGGTGCCAAGACAAGGTAATTTGAGCCTAGCCACCTCACGGGAGTGCCGCGACGGCAAGCCACGCTGCTCAGCAGTTGCCTGGTCCCTGCCAGGGAAGCCCACCAAAGATCCACACATGTATACAACTAATATAACATAAAGTGTGATTTTCCCCAACCTCCATTAGTTGCCAATCTTTCTCATGCAAGTGACGCATTTTCTTATCGTGCATGTAACGTGTTTTATCCCTATGTGGTTATACCATTTTGAGATGGTTATACATGTGTGGGCATTCCACTTTTAGTTATAGAAATAGGTATGTGGAGATACCACTTTGAGTTGTATATATTAATGTCTTTTGTCCTTTCTCTCCATCAGCCACTTTGCTTTAGCTACTTAATATTTTTGTCTTCGCAATATCCTTTTTTTACAGGTAGTCTTCATAATACTATACTATGGTTGCTGGGGAGCCCATTATATCATACATATGCTCACGCTATTACCGTGCTCCAATATCATATTTCGGCAAATGTGAGTATACCACATCAATAAATATATGGTCAACTAGATGTATTCTTGCAGTACTTCTCCGTATTTGTTTCGTAGATTTCAGTGGTTTTAGGTTTCTTTGCTTAACCACGACGCAACTACTGTTGTTTTAATTCCCTTGCATGTATGTTTGCAACCATTGTTCCTAGGTTAGAGTGCAGTTGAAGTTGTAGAGATAATCTAGGTACTGCACACATCACATTTCGCTCTCCTTTTACTTCTGCCATGAAATTTCCTAAATTGATGTGATCCTCTCGCAAGTTCTTGGTACATATGCCCACCCATCAGGATATATGATGCATGAACCCGAACTATAGAGTTTGGATTTCCACGGATAAAAGGCCCACGATTGGCACAAGGTATGCATGTTATCTAACGAAGAAAATGTTTGTTTATATGAAACATCTTTTTATGCATAGCCATATGATCAATTAACATATTTATTCTGTAGTCTTAGTTTCTAATACTCCATCCGGTTCTCTAAAGCAAGTCGTTTTGAGGTTGTCTTAAGTCAAACATTTTAAACTTTGACTACAAATAACTTCTTTTGGGTTGAGTTTGAAAATATGAAAGTGATGTAAGTAGATTCATCTCGAAATGTAGTTTCATAAAAGTATATATTGACTATATTTTATAAATATTTTATACCAAAAAGTTGCAGTTAAAGTCGTTTCTTAAAGACCGTGTCGATGTCCAAAATGACTTGCTTTAGAGAACTGGAGGGAGTAGGTTATAATAATTCCATTGGTGTTAATATTATGTGGTTTCTCATTTATGTTATAGTAACACACATGTGTACCAGGTTGAGGGCGCACACTCATCATGTGGAAACTGAGTTCCTGCCTATCTGGCACACATGGTTGCACACTTTGCACTTGTGCGGAACACTCTGCAAGTCTAGCTTTGCCTTGCCCTTCTTCTCCATGATCCTGTGATGACGAGTAATGTGGACTCCCTGTGCCTGGGGTGTGGTGAAGAACGTGTTCTTACACTCAGGGTAACTATACACCTTGCCATAGCCTTTGTTGCTCTCACCTCCAGTGGTAGTAGATGTGTTGTAGGTGTGTGGCTGCCACTACTACACCCAGCAAGACCTTTGCTTCCATAGCCAACCTCGCTATAGCTAGCAACACCTTTTCCATAGTCGACATTGCCATAGCTGGCGAGAGATTTGCCACAACCATTGCTGTACCTAGCAACAACTTTACCATTGCCACCATATGTATAGCGAGCACTAGCTTCACTAGAGCCGTTGTTCCCATTCACCAGGTGATCAGGTGCAGTTTGAGTGGCCACACTCACAATAGTGGCGAGAGGAGCTCTTGTGATGGTCACCAATGCCACAGAAGCAGGAGGTGGTAGAATTGTCAGAGCCGCTGTTGATGCAGCAGGAGGAGCTCCTCCAATGTTCATAGATTCTGCCGACCCATGAGGTGCAGGCGGCGCAGGAGTTGCCACGGCCTCCGCAGGAAGTGTTGCTGCTGCATCGGGAGCTGGGCCAGGAGCTCCACGAGACCCTGCGATGGCAATGAGAGGATTTGTGTCGTCATCATCATCGTGGATGATGATCATGAAATTGTCATCGCCGCTGCGGCCGTTCTCTGTGACCATGTGCTGTCGTGCATGGCGACCACTATGTTGCGAACAGTATGTGACATTGGACTAAGATCCAAAAACTTTTACCTCCAGGTTCTCATCAGCTGGTGAGACGATAGCATCGGCCACTCCAAGTTTTGTCGCCATCAGGTCACGTTGGATCTACATGACCACTGACCTGTCCAGTTGTTCTTCACAAAGGGCATCTCTAGGGCTCTTGTTGCAGCATGCGGCATTGCCCCATGTCGCCTCTAGTGGCATTACGGTCCTCAGCTTTGACTTCCGCTTCATCCTTCTCCTCTTCAGTGTGGGTGCATCCTCGTCAGACTTGGAGGAGAGGTGGTCGCGCTTTTGAGACCTCATGTGCCCATTGCCCACACAACGTCGTCTCTCGACCAAAGGTCATGGAGGAATCGGCACAAGCCTAAGGCCGGTCATCCATCGCAACAATGGTGCTGAGACCAGCTAATATGAGCCTAGCCACCTCACTCGAGTGCCGCGGCAGCAAACCGTGCTACTTAGTAGTTGTCTGGTCCCAACCTCTGTTAGTTGCCAATCTTTCTCATGCATGTGACATATTTTCTTTTCGTGCATATAACATGTTTTGTCCCTATGTGGTTATACAATTTTGTGATGGTTATACATGTGTGGGCATTCAAATTTCAGTTATAGTAATAGGTATGTGGAGATACCACTTTGAGTTGTATATATTAATGTCTTTTGTCCTTTCTCTCCATCTGTCACCTTGCTCTAGCTACTTAATATTTTTGTCTTCGCAATATCCTTTTTTTGTGGGTAGTCTTGGTAATATTATACTACAGGTTGCTGGTGAGCCCATCATATCATATATATATATATATATATATATGCTCACGTTATTACTGTGCTCCAATCTCATATTTGGTGCAACTGAGTATACAACATCAATAATATAAGAGAAAATTTTTTATTTGGCCCTGACCGAAACCTGCCTTTTTTTCTTGGCCTTGAAATAAATTTTCTTATCTATTTGGCCTCATTTGAACTTTTGATTACCGATCTGGCCCTACTGTCATTTTTTTGCCTCTAACACTATTAAGAGTTACGTGAAATGACCAATTTACCCTTGAGATATTATGAGAACCAAAAGGCAAGCAGACATCATACCAACGTAATTTTGCAGCCAACACACATACATTGCCCAGTAATCCATATATCGACAGCCGGGGCAACTGTTTTATGGGCCCAGCATAATCTATGTTCATGAAATAATAGCCTGATACACGTATGTATACGGCGGCCGGCTGACAGTGTACGCGTGCGTGTACCTATAGGCGCTGCACACGACGGCGGCCACCCAGCCAGCCATAGTGTCCTGTTCCTTTCCCATGGACGCACGTGAATGAGCAATTGAGCACGCAAACATGTTCTTCGTATTCTCTTTTTTCTTTTGCACACCTACTAGTAGCATACACGAATACAAGTGTACGTGCATACATGGAGAATTTTAGACCGGCCAAAAATCCATCAGACAAATGCCCTCCACCAAGTTGAATTTTAGACCTGCTTGCTTTTGGTTCCTCAAAATATCTCGGGGGTAATTTGGTCATTTCATGTACCACTTGACAGTATTAAAGGCAAAAGATGACGATATGGCCAGGTATTCAAAAGTTTAAGTGAGGCCAAATAGGTAGATAAGAAAAATTATTTCAGGGCCAAAGGAAGAAAGGCAAATTTCAATCAGGGCCAAATAAGAAATTTTCTCATAAATATATGGTCAACTGGATGTATTCTTGTAGTAATTGCAAGGCTATGACCAAGTCCATGGAGTAATCAGTCCAGATAAAGAATAAGGTGCAATACACAATTGTCATGTAAATTGATTAAAATTCAATTCCTCTTGATGTCTTGCTGACGACATTGAAATCTTCTTGCTTAGAAAATTACTTTGCTTCCGAATAACTCCTTCCATCTTGTACTTGGCCAAAATTTCTTCGAAACTCAAGCTCATCTTGTTCTTTGATTTGGCCCCTTTTCTTGAATTCTTGGAAATCCATCTTGTACTTGAATTATTGAATTGCACTAATCAAATGTATGCTTTGACTTGTAATTAAGAATGACTTAGGAATTATTCCTCTAATATTCTACCTGACCATGCTGACGCTATAGAAAGGAGTGCTCTGAGTGATTTATCATTATTATTACTTATCATTTATACATATATTATCCTATGCCTTATCCCTATTGTGATTAGAGTAATGGCTATGGTTTATTTCTCCTTCAATAATATAAGTTATCAATACATGTCCATGCTAGACATTCGCAGTGGTAAAAATATAAATAACGATACCTGAAATACTCTCGGGTAAAATGCTACAGTGGCATATTATCTGTGCGCTTGCAGATACTTTTCATTCATAGATTTATATATATTCTCTCTAGTCACATAATTACTAGGGATGAAAACGGATCGGATATGAACGGATATCACTAATATTACATTTATTTTTATATTTCTGTCCGGATTCGGATTCGAATACGGATAGTGTCAACCATATCGGATAGGATACGATTGGATATCGACATCATAAATATGCGATTTGAGTATTCGGATACAGATACGGTATCGGATGTTGAATATCCGGACTCGAATACGAATATATCTGAACCCCTTTAAACGGATTCGGTCTCGAATACGGTCGGAAAATATCCATACCGTTTTCATCCCTAATAATTACTAAAGAACTGCTTAGTGTTATTCTAATAGTAATACTATGTAGTACCAACATATATCTCTAGCATTATTATTAGGGATGACAACCTAATAAAGTTAGGGGATATAGGTTTATAATAGGTGGCTAAGTACTCAAACAAGTGACATGTTAATAAACACCAACAAGCATTTTTGGTAACGTTGCCAGGGAAGGTAACTAGCAAAGGAAGTATTGATAAACTTATACTTATTGACGGGATCAAGATAACCATTGCCCTCTGCTCAAACAGGCTTACCTTTGTTTTGTCTACTTGTTTATCTTATGCAGGGTAATGTATGACCAGTTTTGACCTTCCGACAAACTACGTTGAAGATCCAGAAGCATTAATCAGGAGAACCAGAGCTAAACTCAAGAAAGTCTCATCTTTGAAATCAGAAGATAACCATATAAGGCGAAGCATAACACTAGAATTTGAAGCCATGGCTAACAGGACTCTTCGTGAATTCTCTGCTCCAACTACGGCCAACATCCGTAATGGACCGACAGTCAATGTCGGAGACAATGTTTTCCTAAACGGTAAACGGTCTTTACACGGTCACCCTTCGTTTAGCGTTTAGGCTATTTATACGGTGTTTAAACGAAGTTAAACGGTCTAAACAGTTTTGTACTTTAAAAAAATACATATAATTATATATGTGCATGTAAAAGATCAAGTATTCTAGCATTTATACATATTTATCCGAGTAAAAAATTAATTATTTTGGTATGTATATATATTTATGCATGTGAAAAGAACCAAATATAGATATTTATGCATGTAACATATCAAGTGTACACATTTATAAATACAATAAACTTAAGTATACAAATTTATCCACACAAAACTAAACTAGATTTATCTCGTGTTCGCCTAAACGGCCGTTTAAACAGCTGTTTAGCCCGTTTAATGCTGTTTATCTCCGTTCCGTTTAGGTTGTTTTTTTTTTCCGTTTTTTGACCGTTTAAACGGTCAACCGTTTTTTGACCGTTTAAACGGTCAACCGTTTAATTTCTGTTTACCCCATAAACAAAACAGTTTACCACCATTTACCGTTTACTGGCCGTTTAAACGGCCATTTAATCCGTTTAGGCGAACACTGGTCGGAGACAATGGATTCGAGCTTAAGCCAGCTCTCATCAATATGGTGCAAGCAAACTAATTTTGTGGAAAGGCACATGAAGATGCAAGTGCACATCTCCAACACTTCCTAGAGATCTGCAACACCTTCACCATCAAAGGAGTAACCTAGAATGCCATACTACTTCGCTTTTTCCCATTCTCACTTTTGGGAAAGGAAAAGCAGTGGTTCTACACCAATAAAGATAAAAAGACTACATGGGATAGCTGCTCCACCACCTTTCTAGCAAAGTTCTTTCCCACAGGCAAGACCAATGTTCTGCGTGGGAGAATCTCAAGCTTTCAGCAACAACATGATGAATGTATCCCTGAGGCATGGGAATGCTTTCAAGACTATATATCAGAATGTCTTCATCATGGGATGGAGAATTGGCTACTCATGCAGATGTTCTACCATGGGTTGACCAATAGTACCCATGAGACCATGGATGCTGCTGCTGGAGGTGCATTCTCGTCGCTTACACTTCCAACTACGACCGCTCTTGTAGAAAAGATGGCCTCCAACCAAGGTTGGAATGAAGAATGTTTTGAGACCCGCAAGAGAGGTGGAGGTATGCATAAACTCAAGGAGGTAGACATGCAATCTGCCAAGATGGACCTACTGATGAAGAAGCTCAAAGACCGAGCTAATGAAAAGCAAGAAGTCATGCACATTCACGATTCTCGCATGACATGTGAAGTGTGTGGAAGGACTGGGCATTCAGGGAATAGCTATCCTGAGACCCATGACGATGTGAATTTTGTCAACAACAACTACTACTTTTGTCCTCAACAGAATCAAGGATGGAATCAGCAATAAAGGCCGAACTACTAAGATAATTATCAAGGTAACTATCAAGGTAATAATTTCAATAATTTCAATCAAACACCCTTGAGAGAATTAATTGCTGGTTAGTCCAAACTTATGGAGGGATTATCTAGAAAGGTTGCTTCCAATGACAAAATTCAAGAAAATATAAGCAATAAAATGGATAGCTTTGCCTCTGCTATGAAGAACCAGCATAGCTTTAATAAAATGATAGAATCACAAATAGCTCAGCTGGCGGCTGCTGTTCCTCCGTCCAACAAAGGTAAGATTCTGGGGCAACCGAAAGATCTAGAAACTGCAAATCTTGTCGATATTCACAATGCAGCTTACTACTACA